GGGGAGGGGGCGGAGGAGGGGAAACACCACACCTCACCACCTACCTCACCTCACCTTTGATATTCAACATGACCCCCCCCTCTTGCCTATAATCACCACCACTTCAGATGAGATTGCGACGTTCATCTCTACGCAGCACATCTGTTCATTTTACTCGTCCGATCCTTTCCTTTCTTCTTTCTTCTTCTGTTTTCCATCTTTTGATAATTATACAGCTTCTGTTCTTCTTGTAGCTCACCTTCTCTCTCTCCTTCTTGTGTGTCTCTTCTTGACTCTGGAAAACAGGAACTTCATCCGACACGCTGCACGTCTTCTTGGATTCTCTCTGCCCGAGACAGATAATAGCCCGGCGAGATCTGCACATCTTTTTCCTTCGTCTCTCCTTCTTCTTTCTGGATCCAAGATATTTTGATGGTGTATTTCTTTTGGATTTTTTTTTTTCATATATATTCCTTACTCATCTTGGAAGGTATGTTTTCTGCTTCTGCTGCTTCTGCTGCTTCTGCTGCTGTTGGAGGTAGCTCCTTCCTCGCAAGGAAAAAAAGAGAGAAAAATAGAAAGGGCGGGCTGCCCCTTCCCCCAAGTGCTCTTTCCTTGTTTTCACGTCCGAGTTAGGTTTACAGAGAGGCATGAGGGCAGAGAAAGGAATAAGACATCGTCTTTCTCCTCTCCTGGTCAAATAACTGCCTTCTCAATGGAAATATATTGCTTTCTGATCATCGATGGGGACAGATTCTCTGCTGACACTCTTGGTCACAGGTCTTATCCATCTCATCTCGGCACCTCTCTTCTTCCATCTACACCCTGTCTTTATCTTCCCCTTTGAGTGAGCGGCAGATGTTGTGCCCATCTTTATTGCCTATCGTGCTGACAAGTTCCTTCCTCAGATATACGCCCTCCCACTCGACTGCTTATACCGTGGAGGCATCTCCCTCGCCCCCTCTCTTCCGATCTGTACCGATATCTTGTGTCATGCCGACCTGACTTCCCCGAAATAGATATGGACCGCCTTCCTTCGACCGTGGACTTGCCTTCCTCGTCGACCCCGGTCCCGAGACCGGCGTCGAGGCAGCTCACGTACACCACGGCGGGGACAATCTACAACCCCAAGACCACCCAGCCGCTCCAGCCTCCTGCCCGGCGTGGTCGCTCCTTCAGGTGGCCTAACGGCGGTCCTCACACCGACCTGAACCTCTTTCCAAAGGCTGCCCTGGCCGCCCTCCCCCTCAGGTACAGCAGCGCTCGGCGGTCGGTCACCCCCCTCCAGTACTCGCCCCTCCAGCAAAATTACGACCGTGCCATCAGTCCTAAGTTCCTCAGAGACCTGGACCATCAGCCGTTCAGCATGCTTGCCGCCCAGCTGACGCCCCCAGAGATGGACGGATGCGTCCAGAGTTGCCGTCCGGAGTCGCCCGTGACCACGCCACCTTCCTTCGATTGGAGCGGTAACTCGCCTGCTTGCTCTGGGGGGGCCAAGGATGATCGCGATGACGATAGTGAGAGCGACGGTGACTTCTCCACGGACCCGTTGGCCGCCATGACGGTCAAGTCGCTCCAGAACCTGGCCTCGTACCCCAACCCCAACCAGAAGAAGGCACGCAGGGTCCTACGCGGTGCGAGATCCAACATCCAGGTGATGGGAGACGTACCCCGGGGACGCAGCCCGCCAAGCGTCGTCGGTCTGGCCATGCCGACCGGCGCACCCTCCAAGCCTGAGGATCTTGACGCCTGGGGGTTTTACCGGTCCGGTATGCAGGGGATGTCGTCTGCTCTGGTGCAGAACGGGGCCGCCCATCGGAGTCTGCCCGAGTGCGTTCGTGGCCTGGGCGTCTACGGAACTCACCCGGCCTCGGCCACGGGCCACGAGGATGTGAACCAGCCTACGTCGGCACTCACCGTAGCCTCGGACGCTCCTCGGCCGTTGACGGCGGGCCCTCCCGGCCAACGCCAGTGCCGGCCCTCGACCTTTGAGGCTACATTCAAGGCCCTGCAGAGTAGGCTCCAAGATCGAGCCAGAGGCCCTGGAGCAAGCGGCACTGCATCTCCTTGGCACGAGGTAGAGAATACATGGGCGTCTGATGGGCAGCAGCAGCAGCAGCAGGAGGAGGAGGAGGAGGAGGAGGAGCAGGCTCCAGAGTGTATGGCCCCTCGGGACCGTTCGCACCAATCGGTCGGCCTGCCTGGCTACTCTACGACGGCTAGCAAGGTAGCCAGCATGATGAAGGAAGAGGAGATCGTCACAGGTATTCGAAAGATGGAATACAACCAGCCAGCTCCGACGTTTCCGACCAACGAATATCTCCAGGCCGGCTACGATGATGAACATCCGAGATTCAAGCCTGGTACAGACCGTCTGACGGACGAAGAGCTTCGAAAGTGCGACGCCAAGATAGACCGCTGCTGGTACTCTGGATGTGTCATCATGAACAGGGCGGTGGCTGCGGAGAGAGCTGCAGGAAACACGATGCTGCCGCGGCAGGAACATAAGCTAGGTGTTATTGGCGACGGGCGCCGTATGAGAAGTACGAACTCGTACCGGCCCCTGAGCATTGCAGAGGCAACGCAGATGGATGCTTGCGAGCATGCCGCGCCGCTCTTGACGGCGGCACAGGTGAGCCTGATGAGGTACCTGGAGGAGGAGGAGGAGAAGAAGAAGAAGAGGATGGAAAGGGAGCAGGAGAAGCAGGGAGATGGGCAGGAGGAGTAGGTGGGGAGAGATTAGCATGAAGAATTGGAGCACCATTATTCTTTGGACAAATCCGGGGGCGACTGCTGAGCGATGGCTTGCATCTCGAGGCATGATACCGGCTGGTCAGGTGAGGGACTGCTACAGAGGGGGGAGGTCCACGGCACCCAGAGGGGATTCCACCATCTCTGCATTGAAACGTCTGGCATTGGGGATGAGATTGGATCGATGATGGGGCAAGGATCGGAACAGAATTAGCAGGCGGACAGGCTATTGTTACTAGTTACTAGTTACGTGAGGGTGAGTGATAGCGGCTTTTTGTAATTGAGAAGGCTTGTGTACCTATCGATTCACGTGAATTATGATGGTATAGCATGGATTAGTGAGGTATCATGTACGAGTAACACCGCCTCTATATTATGTACGAGTAGTAAGTATCAATATCATGATGAGCATGATGATAATATTTAGTAGGCACAGAGGATGAGCAAAAAATATAGCAAGAGTATTGATGGGGAATATGATTGTTGTTAGCAGACGAGAATCACATGCGGGGCCAAGATGGATGACGTCCTTGGCAGCCCTGAGGTGTTCTAATGTGCTTTGCTGTCCAAGGCGTTGTGGAGCAGCCTGCAGCTTGGGAGGACACAGAGAGACACAAGTAGTGATGGGGGGGGGGGGGGGGAAGGAAAGGGAAGGGGAAAAAATGAGCCCACCGAAAGTGTTCTGAATCCATGAGTTTCCATCATGAGAGGGAAAAAACACAGTGACGTACATATATATATATATATATATGCGTACAGCTGTCAATTATTCCTTTGGTAAAGAAAGAATTATATAAAAAAATAAGATAAAAGGCCATTCCCCACAGAGCCCATCTTTTCTCTGTCTTTCTCCTCTCCTCTTTTTCTTCTTAACCATCCACTCCCTCCCACACTCTCTCTCTCTATCCCCCCCCCCCTCCTCCAAGTCTGTCCTGTTCGTGGTAGGGAGCTTAGTACTACGATACAGCCAAACTCTTCTCTGGATCACCCTCTTTGCACGCACCGCGTCACTGAACCGAAACACACACAACACACTTCCCCACGCGTATAGACGTCGATCCCTCCTGGTGCCCGAGTCCTCTCTCTGCACCTGAGACTACCACGGCGGTGCGACATCGGAGGCGAAAAACCCATCCTTCTAGTAACAGGAGACAGAGACGAGACGAGACGGAGTGCAGCAAGAAAGAAGGGAAAAGGAGGATAGGAAAAGAAGAGAAGAAGGGGAAAAAATGGGCTACATTCGACAGAATCAACTCCCGGCCTTGAAGGAGTACAGATACTCTGCCGTGGACCGATCGCTCATCTCCAAGTACATCCTCAAGCCCTTCTACACCAATGTCGTCATCAAGTGCTTTCCGATGCGCATGGCGCCCAACCTCATCACCCTGACGGGCTTCATGTTCATCGTGGCCAACGTCTTGACGCTGCTGTGGTACAATCCCACCCTCGACCAGGACTGTCCCGGCTGGGTGTACTACAGCTGGGCGGTCGGCCTGTTTCTCTACCAGACCTTTGACGCTGTCGATGGACAGCAGGCGTGAGTTTTTTTCTTCTTCTTTTTCCTCTTCGCCCCCCCCCCCCCCCCCCCCCCCCCCCCCCCCCGCAGGGGGGGAGGGGGGTTTTGCCCCCCCGGGCGGGGGCCCCCCCAAAAAAAAGGTTTTTTTTCCCCCCCCCCCCCCCCCCCCCCCCCCCGTTCTTTTTAAAAGAGAGGGGCGGAGAAAAGAAGAGAGCGTTGGATTGACTCTGACTCGTAAAAACAGTCGCCGCACGAGACAATCCGGCCCGTTAGGCGAACTATTCGACCACTCGGTCGACGCGCTCAACACGTCCCTGGGCGTCCTGATCTTTGCGGCGTCGCAGAACCTGGGACAGAGCTGGCGCACCGTGGCGGTGCTCTGCACATCCCTGCTCACCTTTTACGTGCAGACGTGGGACGAGTACCACACCAAGACGCTGTCGCTGGGCCTGGTCAACGGCCCGGTCGAGGGCGTGCTGATCCTGGTGACGGTGTACGCGCTGACGGGGTACCTGGGCGGGGCGCACTTCTGGCAGCAGAGCCTGCTCGGGTTCCTGGGGGTGTCGGCGCCCAGCGGCGGCGACGGCGTCGCCTCGATGCTGTACGGCATGTCCTTCTCGGACTGGTACCTAGTCGAGGGCGGCGTGGTGCTCGTGTACAACACGTTTGAGTCGTCGCTCAACGTGATACGCGCGCGGCGCGCGAGGGGCGACCGGTCCCGCGGCGCCCTCCTGGGCCTGGTGCCCTTCTTCGCCGTCTGGGCCCTCATCGCCGCCTACCTGTCGCTGCAGCCCGTCATCCTGCGCAGCCACCTGGTGCCGTTCACGCTGTTCGCCGGCGTCGTCAACGCCTACAGCGTCGGCCGCATCATCACCGCCCACCTCGCCGGGCTGCCCTTCCCCTACTGGAACGTGCTCGCGCTCCCCGTCGCCTGGGCCGTCGTCGACTCCCTAGGCCCCCTGCTGAAGGACCGCCTCGGCTTCGGCTGGCCCAGCGCCCTCGGCGACGGCGTCTACCAGGTCGCCTTCGTCTTCCTCATGCTCGGACTCGCCGTCGGCGTCTACGGCAGCTTCATCGTCGACGTCATCGTCACCGTATGCGATTACCTAGACATCTGGTGCCTCACCATCAAGTATCACTACGACGAGGACGGAAAGAAGAAGCTGTGATGTGATCATCTCTCCCTGATCCTCTCTCTCCCTGATCTTTCTCTTCCTGATCATGTCTCTCTGATCATGTCTGATCATCTCTCCCTGATCCTCTCTCCTCTCATCATCTCTCTCCCTTTTCTTGTACTCTCTTTACACACACAAAAAATGGTATGAGAGAGGTTTTTTTTAATGGGTAGCTAGTTTTTTTTTTTCTGGGTTAGAAAAAAATCCCCTTGTTTTGGTGGGTATTGGCTGATTCTTGGGAGATGGGTGGCAATAATGACCGTTTTTTCTACTCTCTTCTCTCTCTTCTTCCCTGTCACTTCTAATATTCCTGTTTTTTTTACATGATGCGTTACGACGAAGACGAAGCAAAAAAAAAATTTTAAACATTAAAAATAAAAGATTAAAAAATTTTCGAATAAGAGAATAAAATACAGTATTCAAAGTACGGGGGGCAGAGGATTCATTCATGGTCTTTTTCAAGGGTTTTCTGTTTTGTAATCCATCCTCCTCCACATAGACTTGTACATTCATACAATCAGCCCCTCTGCCATGGAAGAATATCACGTAATGTGCTGCATGCGCGTGATTGGGATATAAGGAAGAGACGCGTGCATGTACCGGAGTGTGTATAGCAGAGTCGAGAGAATGTTGTCGCGAAAATCAAGACAAGTCATCATCGATATAGAATGTTTATATATATATCGTGTCCCAGTCCACACCCGTTGAAGAATTTATGCACATATATATATATATATATATATATATTATATATATACATATATATACATATATCCATTTTCGTACCTTGATTGGACCCCCCCCCGCTCCCCCCTCAAAAAAAAAAGTACATTTCTATTCAATATCGTCTTTGTATTTCCCTATGAAAGAAAGAAAAGAAAGAAAAAACATGCATCGAGCATCGTAAGAGTAAAGCAAAAAAAAAAAAAAGGGTTCATAAGAGATGTCGTAAAAAGAGGCATAAGGATGTCATTAAAAAAAAGAAAAGATGGAGAAAAAGATAGAAAGAAGAAGAAGAGGAGGAGGAGGAAGAAGACGATGAAGAAGAAAAATCACAGCAAATCATCATCAGCCGAGATGGTACAGATCCTCACAGCATCGAGGACATCCTTCTCGGAAAAGACGGGTCCCTGACCATCACACTGCGCCCGGGTACGTAGATAGTCCCCCACGGCGACCAGGTCGACGAGACCCTGGGAGAAGGGGTCGGTAGAGGCGATGAGGTCCCAAGAGGCCCCGACGGCGAGGAGCCTGTGGCCGTCGCGCGACTCGATGACGCGGTGGGAAAAGGTCTTGATGTCGTGGTTCTGGAGGGCCCGGGTGCTGAACTCGTCCGGGTCGTAGCGCATCGGGCCCGTCTCGACGATGGCGGCGGCGGCATCGTCGCGGGGTCCTCGCGACCTTGCCGTGGAGGGCGGGGATGACGGGTGTGATGAGGACGAAGTGTTGCTGTACATGCCGGCCGTGGCCTTGAGCAGCTCGTTCTCCGTCGCCATCTTGGCCAGGTCGGCGCGTAGTCGCTCGTTCTCCGTCGTGGCTGCCTTGCGCGCGGCTTCGAGGTCTGACAGTTTGTTTTCGAGGTCCTTGACGTGTTTCTCCTTGCGTTCTCGGAAGGCACGTTGTCTTGATGGTCTTTCCGTCAGTCTCCTCGTCTCTTCCTCGGCTATCCTGTCTCTTCTCTTGTGTTTCCTCCCTCCCCCCACCATCTCTCCTATAGGCCATGAGGGTAACCGAGAGAAGAGGAAAGGTGTGTGTGTGTGTGTGGAGGAGGGGGGGGGGGGAATATGACAAGGAAAAAAGAAGTAGGTAAAACAAGATAAAAACATACGCTGCCCGGTTCTGCGCCTTGCGCTTCGACTGCGCCGGCGTCAGAGGACCCTCCTCACTACCACCTCTCCCGCTATTACTCTGGTCGTCCGGCTCTGACCGATCGTGACCGTTACCGTGCTCCGTAGCCTGCACGACGGTACCGTTATACCCATCATCGAAGAAGGCGCCCCCGTTCGTCATGCGTTGATCGCGATAATGGTTATGCGCGGAAGCTGAGGCTGAAGCCGAAGCTGCTGCTGCCGCTGCTGCTGCCGCCGCCGCCGCCGCCGCCGCCGTCGTCGTCGTCGTCGTGGGGGTATGTTGCTGTCCGAATGAGATGTGATGATTGGGAGGTGTCGGAGGTCCACCGTATGAGAAGCCAGAATGTGCCTGCTGCTGCTGCTGCTGCTGCTGCTGTTGTTGTCGTTGTTGTTGTTGTCGTTGTTGTGTCTGAAAGGCCGACTGCTGTTGTTGGGCGAAATCAAGAGGGGCAAATGGCGCGTCGGTGGCAGTGCCGTGAGACAGACCATCAAAGGCATCCTAGGATATTGTTAGTGTTGTTTTTTTTTTTCTTTTGAAAAAAAGAAAAGATTTGTATCTCGTCATATTCCCCCTTCTTCTCGTCTCTTGTTCGGAATGGGTCAAGTGTCATACAGGCGAAGAGTTATTGTTACACTCGTCCGAAGGGGCCGATTGAGAGTGCGACGGAGTGAGAGGCGGCACTGGGAGGAATTGATGGTAGGGCGCATTGCCGGCAGCAAACTGGTACTGGCCGGTGAATTCCATGGCGGAGGGAGGAAGAGGGGAGGGGGGAGAGCGGGGGGGGAGCTTCTCGGATTGATGATGGTGAAAGAAAGAGAGGATGAAGGCGATGTGGTGAATCGGCGGCGGGTGCAGTTTTCTGTGTGCGGTCGTGGCCGGAGAGAGAGGATGACGGATGAATTGGGAGGGGGGAACAAAGAAGAGCAATTAAGAATAAAAAAAATGGAATAAAATGATAGAATTAGGATAAAAATAAAAATAAAAATAAAAATAACATATTAAAAAAAAAAACACCCCGAATGAGGCAGGTTCGGATCAATTGGTCTACGGTACAAGCGCGCGTTAATATTGTAGGCGTTATATACCAGTAATAATAATACCGAGTATCCGTACATGTACCATTGCATTACGGAGCTACGGCTACAATGTACGGGTACAGATATCATCATCATCATCATCATTACGAGCATGATGGTACCATGATAGTACGCCCCCCCCCCCTCCTCCCCAAAGGAACTCCTCCTCCCCGCCATTCGACCCGCCTGCTCACTTTCTTTCTCTTCTTCATCCCACTCTGAGTCCTAGGAAGTTGCAGACATTCAAGACACGAAACACGATACGCTCGCTCGGAGCAGAGGCCTCATACGAACCTAGCTGTGCGCGAGGATATGCGGATTATGCAGATCCTGAATGGATGCATCCTTCAAAAAGACAGCGAGTACAATATTACGACGAATATCAATACCATGTGCAGAGATCTCCATCATAGTGAGCCTCCTTGGGTTCTCTTGTCACGGCCCACTCGTAGACCCTCTCGAGCTCGTCTCGAGTTATTCCCTCTCTCTATCTGTCTCTCAGTCCTCTCTCTCCCCCTCTCTCTCCCTCTCTCTCTCTCTCTCTTCTTTTTCTTCTTCTTCTTCTCTTATTTCTTTTCGTGACTGGTAGCGATAACCAGCAGATAATAATCCCTCCCTCACCAATTTTCTTCTTCTTCTTTTCTCTCTCTTCTTCTCTCCCTGTTGCATCTCGGGTAGGAGACGCTCCCACCTTACGGCAGCAACCTCTTGGGAGTGCGAGGGTAGAAGCTAGCCAGGTGTACGCTAGGCAGGTTGAGATACCAGGCGACGACGCGGTCGAGGCCGATGCCGCCTCCTCCGTGGGGCGGGACGCCGCAGCTGCGGAAGACGTCGACGTACTCCTTGATGCCGGGGCTGTCGGGGTCGACGCCCTTCTTGCGGAGGCGCGCCTCGAGCAGGTCGGGCCTGTGCACCCGCTGGCCGCCCGAGAGGATCTCCTGGCCGCGCATGAAGAAGTCGTAGGCGTTGGTCACCTTGGGGTTCTGCGGGTCCTCGAGCGCGTAGAAGGGCCGCGCCTCCTCGGGGAACTTGTCCAGCACGTAAAAGTCCGTCTTGTACTTTTCGCGGATCAGCGCCCCCAGCGCCTTCTCCTGCGGCGTCGACATGTCCTCCTCGTCCGACACGTTGCGGTACTCCTCCGGGCCCTCGGCCCGGAGCAGAGCCTGGCCCTCGGCGAAGGTGAGCCTGACCTCCTTGCCCGCCTCGGGCAGGAGGAAGTCGTCCGACGGGTACACGGTGCGGATCGTCGCGATCTGCTCCGCGCACCGCTCCTCGAGCCCGCGGAAGATGTAGAGCAGCGTGGCCTCGAGCATGTCGCGGACCTCGTGGTACGACTCCTCAATCTCCATCTCCATGTCGAGGCCCGTGAACTCGGTCATGTGGCGGGGCGTGTTGGAGTTCTGCACCATCCCGTTAGCAGGCAATCCATCCCTCCATCCCTCCACCCCCCCTACGCTGGCTGGCATCTCACCTCGGCGCGGAAGACGGGCCCGATGCAGAAGACGCGCTTCCTGCCACCGGCAATCTCGAACTGCTTGTAGAACTGCGGCGACTGGGCGAGGTAGGCCTGCCGGTCAAAGTACGTCATGCCGAACACGTTGGAGCCGCCCTCGGACGCGGCCCCGATGAGGCAGGGCGGCTCGAACTGGTTGAAACCCTGCGACTCGAGGTACTCGGCGAACAGCTTCCTGGTCGCCATCCGGACGTCGGCGATGGCCTGCTGGACCGGCGCCCGCTTGTGCATGGCCGGGTTCGACAGGTGGGTGGCCATGCTGGCCGACGGGACGCTGTCGACGCTCAGGTTCTCGACGCCCTTCCTGGCCTCGTCCGCCGCCGCAGCGTCCCCGGCAGCGGCAGCCTCCTCGTCGTCAAAGTTGGTCACCGCCTTGTTGGCCACGGCGAGACCCATGCCGAGGACCTCGGGACCGGGCGAGATGACGTAGCACTTTGTGATGTGGAGCTCGTAGCCGGACACCCGCACGCTCTTGACCGGCTCCAGCGGCTTCTCGACCCGGCCCTCGACCAGCACGAAGCCCTCGAGGTTGAGCCCGCCGATCCACTTGACCATCTGCCTGCTGACCGGCCTGCCCTCGGGGCTGGCCGCCACCACGCCCTGGATGGCCCAGTTGCGCTCCTCGCGCAGCTCCACGAAGGCCATCTTGGCGCCCTGCATGCGCGAGTTCTGCACCCACGCCCTCAGCTTGATCGTCTTGCCCAGCTGCGACTCCCCCACGTCCCGGAGGTGGACGCGCTCCGCATCCACCTTGGTCGCCGCCGTCGCCTCCCCGTAGTTCTCCCTGGCCAGGTCCTCGGTGTTGCCCGCCGCCGCCTTGGCGGCCGCCTGCTTGGCCTCGTGCTCGGCCGCGCGCTTCGCCTTCTCGGCCTCCTTCTTCGCCTTAGCCTCGGCCTTCTTCAGCGCCTTCTTCGACGGTCCGGCCTCGCCACCCTCACCACCCTCACCACCCTGCGCCGCCGTCGCCGCCGCGGGGGCAGCAGCGACCGGGGGCTTCGACTCAGCGGGCTTGTCGGCCATGATTGCTTCGTCGTCAACGTTGAAAGTGGAGTGCTGAGGTGCTGTTGGTTTTTTTTTTTTTAGAGAAGAAAAAAATCTTTTCAGGCTTTCTTGCCGGTTAGTTTCTACAAGGGTGAATGGTAAAACCGGGGGGGGGGGTGGTTGGGTGTTGTGCTGTGTTCGGGGGGAGGGTCAAAGTCTGGTCTGACACTCTGACAATCGATAAATTTCCATGGCGGGGCAGGGCAGCGACTCCTGCATACCCCGCCATCCAGTTTTCACCTACCCTGTAGGGGGGTTGGGGTTGGGGTTGGGGTTGCATATGCTTCCAGTGGGCGACAACGCACGATTGACCCGTAGACGCCGATACAGTGGTCTCTGCCTACGTACACGTCCTCGGTCGATATGTGTGTGTTTGAGAGGAGGGTCATCTTCACATGAGACTATTTACGTCTGTGCGTGTGGCAACAGGCCCTTGGCTGCTTAGTCATGCAATTTTGGTGCCACATGCTTCTGAGCTGAGGGTGGTCTTGGCTGCTTTCTCTTCCTCCTCCAGTTGGTTAAAGATGGATGGGGGCTTGGTCTGGTAGACTTCTTTTCTTATCGGTATTCCTCCTTAAACATCATTCCACACACACATCATTGGATTTCAAGTTTATATCGTATAAGATCGCCATTATCAGTCCGAGTAAAATTGCATGCTCAACCAGCCATGCAGGAGAAGAAGAAGAAGAAGAAGAAGAAGAAAAGGCTCACATCTCCCCTCCATGACGCCAGAAAAAAAAAAAAAAGTCAGAAATGCAACATGAAAAATACTCCTCTTCACATGAACGACGTGTCCTCGAGAAGCGTTCCTCATCACCGCACAGTGCTAAGAAGCTTTCAATCCAGAAACCCCAAACAGATGAATGGACAGACAGGGATTTGGAACCCATAAACAGAATATTGAAAAACAATCAGGTGATGAGAAGAGGAAAAAAAGACGAGAAAAAAAAAAAAGTTCAATTCCCTCCAAGAGAATTCGTATCCTCACACGTAAACAGGTTGATGTGGGAGTCGCCCCTAGCCGCACAGCCGAGGATAGGCCGGTGGGGGTGGAATGCCGTGGCCGAGATGGGAGAGCCCCTGTTCTGCTGGAGGAAGCTGGAGTACGGTTCGACGTGGGAGAGGTTGGTGCCGTCAAAGTTGAAGACCTTGACCGTGTGGGCCGACGTTCCGCTGTATTTTCCTGTCAGCGACGTAACGAGATGGACGGGAGGAGAGAGGAAACAAGGGAGGGATACAGAGGAGAGGAGGAGGAGGAGGAGGAGGAGGAGAGAAGGGATAGTAGGAGAAGAAGAAGAAATGAAGAAGAAAAAATGGGGGAAAAAATGGGGGGGAGGGGAGGACTCACACTGCAAACACGGGTAAGTGCTCATGCGTACTCGCCGTCCGCAGCGTATCCCTCGTAGCCTGAAAGGCGTGGAGCGGTTTGTCGACGCGGATGTCCCATATCTTGACCTTGCCGTTGCGGCTCGCGCTGAGCAGCTCCCTCTTGCCGCCGCGCTGCATGTGCACGCTCGAGACCCACTGCCTGTCCGTCTCGTCCTTCCACTTGCGCACCATGCTCTCCTGCGGCCGCAGCCTGGTGTCGTAGACGCGCACGGCCCCGTCGCCGAATCCCGCCACGAATATGTTGCCCGTCATCTGGTCCGACGTCAGGGACGTGACGCACGACCCGGACCGCGCGGGTATGTCGACGACGCACGTCTCGTGCGCCGCGTACCACACCCGGATCACGCGCTCGTCCCCGGCTACGAGGACCCGCCCCGACACCTGCTGCCAGTCAAAGACCATGCCCGAGTTGACGTTGCTGGGCACCATCTGCGTCAGGGCCCGCCACGCGGACGCCAGCTCTACCTTGCCGCTCCCGGCCCCCCCGGAGGAGGAGGCGGCCTCGCTGTTGCCGTCGTCGTAGTGCCTGTATACGCGGATCACGCCGTCCGACGACCCGGTGAGGAGCATCGCCTGGTCGTCCTCGTTGATGAACTTCATGTCGCTGATCCGTGAGCCCTCGGGGTTGCCGTTGCTGAACCGGCTGAGGCGCGTGTGCTTCTTCCAGTCCCACACGCTCACCGTGTTGCCGTCATCCGACACCGCCAGGTGATCCTCGAACTGGTGGAACGTCATCCTGGCCGGCTGCCCGCCGTTGTTCATCATCCCCAGCGCCTGGTTCCACTTGTGCGTGCCGGCGTACTGCTTGAGCGGCTGCGTCTCCTTCAGGATCGACTCGTTGCGCGCCCGCCGCCACAGCCGCTCGTTGTACTCCGTGCTGCCCGGCTCGTCCGCCTCGCTCGGCTTCATCTGCGGCTCCCGGAAGTACTCGATCGACCACTCCAGGAAGCCGCTCGACAGGGGCAGCGTCGGCGCCTGCGACAGGTCCCGCTCCTGGTAGCCGCCCGACACGGGCTCGCGCGCCACGTGGTAGGGGCCCGACGTGGCCTTGGGCTCGTTCTGCTCCGGGGGGGCTGTGGCCTGCGACGGGGGCACCTTGGCGCTGGGTGACCGGGGCGCCGCCATGCCCGAGCCCGAGAAGGACGACGTCGACGGGCTCTCCGGCCTGGACGGCCTGTCTTCGGGGTAGAATGACGGGAAGAGCAGGCTCGCCGTGCGGCGGATGATGCCCGGCGACGTGGGCATGGGAGGGGTGCCGGAGCCGCCACCGCCACTGCCGCCGCCGCCGCCGCCGCCGACGCCGACGCCCATGAGTCCCGTCTTGTGCAGCGGGCCGCCCTGGCCGTGACCGTGCCTTCTCGACTGCTTCTGGGCGCGACGGTGAATCTCACCCATGAGCGCGGCCGCCGCAGGGCCGATGGTGGAGTGGGCCAGGGCGTTGTGCATGTAGTCGACGACGGTCGAGGCCATCTTCTGGACCTCCGGGTGGGGGTCGACGCTGAGGATGAGGGCGTGCTTCCAGCAGGCCATGTAGACAGTGTTGTGCGAGAGGCCCTGGGCCGTGGGCTTGACGGAGCCGTCCTTGGCGCGGTTCTCGGGCCGGACGTAGTGGAGCCCGCTCTTGTGGTCGTGGCCGTCGTCCTGGGGCGGGAAGGAGAGGTAGTCCTTCTCCTCAGCCAGGTGCTCGTAGGCGGCGACCAGGAACTTGCTCTCGAAGCGCAGGACGAAGTGCGACAGGAAGACGAGGAACTGCTTCCGCACGACTGGGCTGCCGTCGTTTCCCATGCCCAGCATGGTCCAGGCGACCGACTCCTCGACGCGGGCCACCTCGTCCGTCAGCTCGGGGATGCCGAGGAAGGTGGTCATGGCCAGGATCATGGCGGCCCGCACCTCGCTGCACGGATCCTTCTTCAGGTAGGCCAGACGCACGTAGGCGTTCTCGCGGATGCCGCGCCACTTGGCCTCGGGGAGGCCCTGCCACAGCTGGCTCAGGCACAGGCAGGCCCACTGGCGCAGCAGCGGGTTCTCCTGGTTCTCCAGGTGCTCGAGGCAGTACGTCATGATGTCGGTCTGGTTGCACACGACCTGGCCGTTGCGGTAGTCCTTGCACAGCATGGCTAGGATGAAGGCGCACATGGCCTTGTGCTCGTCGCCGTTGACGACGGGGAGCCCCTCGGACGGCTTGAGGATGCCGGCAAAGTAGCTGTAGCCGCTGTCCTTGATCAGGTCGGCCTGGCACGAGATGTCGACGGCGATGAGACGCGCCCAGATGAAGACCATGACGGGCTTCAGCTCGGCGGCGGCCGACTGCAGCAGCTTGAGCACGTAGGGGAAGATGCCTATGCTGAGCGCCAGCTGCACCGACCAGGGACCGAGGTCCAGGAACCTGCCGAGCAGGATGAGAGCCCTAACTCTGTGCTGCTGGCTCAGCAGTACCTGGAGGACGACGGGCAGCTGGTCGGGGGGGCTCTGGGCCATGGCGTCGCCTCTGGTGAGGTAGACCTCGAAGGCGGTGAGCTGCTCGGTGAAGAATGTCGAGTTCTGGTACTCGTACTCGGCACCCTCGCCGTCCTTGCGCTCGAGCAGGGGCAGCTGGGCCAGAGCCATGTCGACGGCCAGGTCCCACGTCTGCCACAGCGGGTGCTGGTGGGTGTCGGGCAGGGCCGGGTACGACTGCGGGTGGCAGCCGTAGACGATCATGACGCGCTGGGCGAGGAGGAAGTTGCGGAAGAGGGCGGCGACCATGAGGTCCTGACGGAAGAACTTGCGGAAGACGTCGCGCGGGAGCGACGTCCAGGCGATGCTGTCCGTGATGGCGGTGAAGATCCAGTTGAGCTCGCCGAGCGGGGTGCGCCTCTCCTGGAGGCGGCCCGGTAGCTTCTTTGCGCGCTCGGGCGATATGCTGGTCTTGAGGGGGTTCTGGAGGACGAAGAACCAGAGGGCCATCTCGATCGGGGTGGTGAGGCAGGCAGTGAAGAGGTCGGCGGGGAGTAGCGGGTTGGTGGGCAGGTTCTCCTTGACGGCGCAGGCAGCGAGGTGGATGTACGGTCGGTAGTTGATCCTGTCGTACGTAGGGTTGTCCTCGGCGGCCTTTGCTTCCTCCTCCTCGTGCTTCTCGACGAAGCGGTGGTAGTTGCCGAGGATGTTGCCGGCCTCGGAGCAGTCCCAGACGAAGATGGTCGGGGCCTGCAGCCAATACTGAAGATCATACAGGGAGACCGGGATATACTGGGTGTAGTTCTTGTTGAAAACCCAAATCTCGCCAGAGGCCGTCGGTTTCGGCACGCCATGGCCGTTGTAGTGCAGCAAGACTCGCTCGTCCTTGGCGTTGCGCCGTAGGGAGGTGCAGAACTTCTTGGTCTCTTCGACCGAGGGGTCCAGGTACTGCTTATAACGCGCCCGGATGGCCAAGGTCTCGTACTGAGCCTGCAGAGCTTTGCCGATGTTCTCGAGGGCTTTCTGGGCGGGTGGGATGGTCGGGTCGGTCCAAGCCTCGAGCTTTGCGCCGGGCGTCGTCTTGAGCTGATCGGGAGGGTCGACGCCGATGTTGAGACAGACGGCCAGGGCAGCCGAAACGGTCTTCAGTCGGTCCCTCTGGCGCCAGTCTTGGAGCTCGTACTGAGCAGGTTTCGGGTTGCCCGTCGTCTCGTGCCGCTTGTCGGTGAAGTACATGTACCAATTCTACGCGGAGAAGAGTGATGATGTCAGAGAGCTGCGGACGGAGGGGGAGGAGGAGAAGCCATGGTCTCGATAGAGGTCTCGGCGAAAGAAGAGGAGGGAGAGATAGACGACTCACGTTTGCCAGCTGAGAGATCTGTTCGGACTGGTAATGGTCCTCAAAGCCGTGTCTGGCTCCCCACTCGGGAATGATATCGTGGTGATACGGCTCGGTTTCCTGCGTCGGCGTCAGGCGAGGGCCATACTCGCTCTTGGATCTGTGAAGTAAGGGTGACGGGCGTCTTGGATGTGCTGAGCCGGGACCGGCGGTGGCGGCGACGGTGCCGTTCCCGTCGACGGAGCGCAAGCCATTCCCATCCGCGGTGGGCGGTGCGCCATTCTCAAGGTCGTCGCCGCTGTGCGAGGCGATTCCATTCTCGGTCAGGCCGGCGCCATTCGTGATCAGGCCGCGACCGGCGGCGGCCGAGCCATTCAGCTCCATGGTCGGGTGTACTCCTCCATGCACCACCGCGGGAGGCCCCAGCTGGACGGGGGGATGCGACGGACGGGTCTGCGTGGGACCGGTCGTGGGACCAGGCGTGGTCGTAGTGGGTTGCGATGCCGAGGACTTGCGGGAGTTTGGCGCAGGTTGAGAGGGGGAAGGTTGGGCGGATGTGGTGGTCATGATCCTCTCTGCTCTGTTCAGTAGACCATGGCGTGGTCTTGTGTCTGTTCTGCCGTCTGGCGGTGATGGTGTGTCGGTCGGGGGGCGGGGAGATATGGGACAGAGGGTGTCTGACCGATGGCAACGGGTGGCAGCAGCAATACTACTGGTAGTCAGCAAGTAGTAAGTAGTAGAGTGAGGCAAGGTGAGTATATACCGCCCGGAATATTACCTAAAGGTCGGCAGCGGTTGGGTTGAATGTTTGGTCGTCGGACTGATGGACGGGGCTTGATGCTCATTGGAGTCATTGATGGGGGAAAGACGGAGAATAGTGGGCGGAAGAAGCTTGGGGGGGGCCATGCAGGGGCATGTGATTTGCCAGTCGAGGGTCTGCAGTCTGCACTGAGGAGCCTTTCAGGCTTCTAGGCTCCTAAGCTTCTAGGCTTCTAGGCTTCTAGGCTGCTAGGTTCAAGTCTCTTTAGGCTCATCGGCCTCTAACATTTAGAATACGGAGTGCATGCATTACGTAGGCATATATTCCACTAGGCCGATGAAAATATATGCACCGATATCAACCGTGCTGTACGAGCATGGTAACACGGATCAGGTCATGAGGGTTCACCCCTACACGTACGAGCCGTTACTTGCTTTGTCGGAAACAGCACGCTGAGCAGGAGTCAGTGATTGAATGGATGGAGTCTGTCCAGCGCTGAGCTGGCAAGTCCTCCGGCAAGGACACCCAGCAAACGAGTTGTACGCGGTGCTACGACACGGACGGCGATGACGTTCTTCTCAGCCTTACACGACCGCCCCTTGCAAGCCCTGCAAGCCCATCCTGCCATATCCGTGGCGATGCTTGGCTAGTGAGAGTCAGCCACGGCTCGTTCTGGTCATTGTACATGCAACTGTCAGAGGCTGTCTACAGACGTGGGTGTGTGATGAGTCAGCAGCACCGTGGCGGCTTCACGAGCATCAGGTGACGGTCATCAGCATTCTCATGTCGTGGTTCGGAGTATGGAAGGGGGTTATAGGATAGTACGGTGCTGCTCGTAGTCTGCACCGTGCACTAGGAGCAGTATCGTTACGAGTCTATCACGTAGTCTTGTCATCACCTGTCTGAAGCAGGCAGCTAGACAGCAGACCAGATGAAGAGGTGCATGCATACGAAACGTGGTTTGGCCCTCCTGTGCTGCAGAGGACCTCGGTGGAGGCTGTATCCGTAGTATAGAGGGGTATTGGCGAGTAGCTGGTGCAGTACTACGAGCAGCAGTAGCAGCCCCCGGGTGGTATCACCATGTCGGCGGCATCGGCGACGAAGTGGAGATGGATGGGGAGAGGGGAAGAGGGTGAGTAAGAGAAGACGAGTAAAGGGAGTATTGATATCCGTATATTACGTACTCTTACTCATACGGAGTATGAATACACATCGCAGGCTGTTGCTGACTTGCAAGCATCATGAATACATGCACGAACAGGTATACTCGTATGTACTCTACTATGTGCTCATAGATAATAGGTATGGTAGACCCAGCACAGCGACCACCACCAGCCTCCTGCTCCCAGCCTCGCCAGCCCCCCTGGCAGGAAGTAGTGGGACTCCGTCACGGTTCGCGGGGGGGGGCATTCCAGTCCTCCAAGGACGGTCGTCGAGTGTCTGGTCTCCAGGTGATGGGCCATGAGCCGCCCGAGCATGTCTTGCGGTCTTATAGCATCGTTTCCGTTAATTAGCAGCATCTCAACTGTACGGATGGATTGCGAGTACGGGTAACAGCCGCTGTCCTGATATAGTCGTCTGCTGCTACCTGAGAGCACCGCCAGGCGCTATTGCCGATTGGTACTAGAGTCTAGGGGCCCCGGAGTAGCACCTCGTAGGTACAGAGAGATCAACTGCCAACACCACCCTCACCCCCAAAGCAAATTATACATTCCTCCGAGCGCATCCCGCAGAACGCATTCCACCACCACAAAACCCCTGGTGATAGAAAAAGAAGGGGAAGAGGGGGGGAAAAAACACCCCCCATATGCATTATTGTGCATGTACGAGTACATATATCAGATGAGGGTTGAAGAGGGGTGGGCACTGGAAGGACAGACAGCAATGACTTCGGCCCCTCCCCTCCCTGTCGAGACGCTCCCATGATTGGCTTCCAGAGAGGCCGGATGGGGACCGGATGGCCACCCCTGACCAGGAGTCGCGAGCATTTCGTTGGTCGGTCACCCATCTCAAGCGTCACCACCACCACCATCACCGCGGCCAGATGCCACTGTAATGCCGGATAAGTGTGCTGGCTCGCCTAGGTACAGACACTCGTAGTGGGCTCGAGGTGGTGAACGCCGCTGTAAGAGTGCGACGCGCCGAGCCCCCCCTTGAGAGAGCCCGCAGAACCAAGGCAGAGCCGGCCAGTAGAGGAGTCAGGCTACCTGCGTGAACTGCCACTAGACTAGTCCGTACTCCGTAATACCACGAATATGGGCGGACCGGTAATAAAATCAGGGGCACCATTGCACCGCCAGCAAGCAATACGTCGCACGTCACTCCACGTTGCAGCGAATACGAGCGTTATACCGGCAGGCTGAGGCAGCTGGTACCCGTACTGTCCAGTAGGAGTAAAAAAAAATCAAATATTGAAAAAAAAAAAATATATATATATATATATATATATATACAAAATTGCATTGTATGAAAAGCCACATGGTCCATTTTATGCTATCGCTCTACGGACACATGGTACTCGTAGTGATATCAATTACTTCGTGCCTGTATGTATATAATCAGTCAGTAATGATACCTGTGCTCGTACACGTACACGTACGTGGGGATGGCACAGGGACTGTGCAATGGCAGGCATCATCCGTCTCTTGAGCTCTGAAGAAGAATTGAAATCATCGCAGCCGCTGCCATATGATTTCACATGTCTCTCTCTGTCTCTCTATCCACGATGACCACAGCAGAGCAGAATTCCAACACTGCCAGGTAGAGAGGTAGTGGGTATACGAGCACAGATTAATCTGCAGTGCTGTTACGGTAATATCACTGCACCGCTAACCGTACGAGCGTGGGCCCAGCCCCCCAAGGCTCATCATCAGGCCCATCCATTGTCTCCGACCATCTGGCCTGAGCACTGAGCACACTCCACCCCAAGACCCCGACTAACCAGAAATTTCACCAAACCAGTCGACGATAAAATAACTAACTATACGCATGCACCAGTACGCACGTACGGGAGTGCTGCCGCACTATGAGACTACGAGTACAGACGGATAGAGACCACAGGTATTACGAGCCCGTACGCACACCCACACCCACACCCACACACACACACACACACACCCACACACACATCCACATCGACCTTGACACCCCCTGACCTGCAACCTCCGACTCCCTGACAGACAGGCCTCTCCACCCGCCAATCCCCAATCCAACCATCCATCCCGCCGTGCGACCAGCCATCTCCAGACTCGACCAAACCACCGTCTCTCTCTCTCTCTCTCGTCGTCTTCCCTCTTCCCCTTTCGCTGGTCCCCTCTGCCCGCTCCCTTTGTTGGTCTTCCCTGTCCACACCAGAGCCTCAAAGCACGCTGCTGCCGCGTCGCTCATCCCAGCCCTTTCCTTTCGATCCCACCAAGCACACACATACACACACGCACTTTCTCCTTTCAAATCTCATTCTTTCGTCCCTTGTTTTTTTCTTTCTTTTTCTTTTCTGGGGGGTTTTTTTTCTCGGATTCTTTTTACTCCTCCTCCCCTGGCGCGCCCACCACCGCCACCGTTTTGTGTGACGACAGACGACAGACGGCTTCGAAACCCTCTCACCGATCATATCGACAGTCGACATCAGTGTGCCGCATACGTACGGCCTCTTTTTTTTTTTCCATATTGCGTGCGCCCATCGCAGAGCGAATCTTCGAATATAGTCGAATCAACCCGCTCCCGCCGCCGAGCGGCCATCGCCAATCATGGCATTCCTCTTCAAGTCGAAGAAGAGCCAGGAACGCTCCATAGCCAGTCGCGAGGGCACACCCGGCTCCCAGGGATCCGTCCACAGTCTCCGAGGGCCCAAGGACGAGAAGGCCTCTGGCCATCGCGCAACCCCGACCGGAAGCTTGAACTCGATCGAGAACGATACCCCCAACAGTCCGCGTCGAGGACCCAGCATCGACCAGGTCCAGCAGCAGGCCCTGCAGCAGCAGGCCCTGCAGCAGCAGCCTCAGCAGCAGCCTACGAGTGATCTGCCGGTGAGTTGCCTCTGAAACCGCCTGCCTCTGTCGCGCAGACGGCTACTGACATCAAGACGCTCTTCACAGTTCCGCAACGGTCCTCAGCAATTGGCCAGCAGCAGCAGCAGCACCAGCAGCAGCACAGCCAACTCGTCCCTGTATCCCTGGTCTCAGCGGAGACCGACCTATACGTCCTCGCACCCCAGCCCCTTCCCTCGCTATGGCGCCGCCGTCAATGCCATGTCCTCCAAGGAGGGTGACATCTACATGATGGGCGGTCTGATCAACAACTCCACCGTCAAGGGCGACCTGTGGATGGTCGAGGCCGGCGGCTCCATGGCCTGCTACCCCCTGGCCACCACTGCCGAGGGCCCCGGGCCCAGGATAGGTCACGCCAGTCTGCTCGTCGGCAACGCGTTCATCGTCTACGGCGGTGATTCCAAGATTGACGACCTCGACTTCCTCGACGAGACCCTCTACCTGCTCAACACCTGTCCGTACCATCCCATCCCCTGCACTACCGTCGCTGCCACCCCTGCCGCACCAAGCATGCTAACCCGTCGCCGCAGCCACCCGACAGTGGTCGCGCGCTCTCCCTGCCGGCCCTCGTCCGTCGGGCCGGTACGGTCATTCCCTCAACATTCTCGGCTCCAAAATCTTCGTCTTTGGTGGCCAGTTCGAAAACGAATTCATGAACGACATGTCAGCATTCGATCTCAATCAGCTGCAGATGCCCAACAACCGCTGGGAGATGCTGCATCGTGGAGAGGCCTCGCCCAACCTGCCCCCTGCGCGCACGAACCACTCGATGGTGTCCTATAATGACAAGATGTACCTGTAAGTTCTGCGCCCGTGCCACCGCCACGATGCTCTTTTTTATCTGACCCCCACCCTTTTTTTTGTCTCAGCTTTGGTGGTACCGATGGTTTGAAATGGTTCAACGACGTCTGGTGCTACGATTCGACCGTCAACAAGTGGACGCAGCTCGACTGCATCGGATATATCCCTGCTCCTCGCGAGGGCCACGCCGCCGCTCTCGTCGACGATGTCATGTACATCTTCGGCGGCCGCACAGAGGAAGGTGCTGACTTGGGCGACCTCGCCGCCTTCCGCCTCCCCACGCGCCGCTGGTACACATTTCAGAACATGGGTCCCTCACCTTCGCCTCGCTCCGGTCACAGCATGACGACTGTCGGCAAGTCCATTGTCACGTTTGGAGGAGAGCCGAGCTCGGCCGCTTCCTCGGCCAACGATCTCGGCATCCTTTACGTCCTGGACACGACCAAGATCAGGTACCCCTCAGACAGCCAGCAGCAGCAGCAGCAGCAGCAGCAGCAGCAGCAGATCGCCAACGCCGCGAGGATCAACCAGGGCCACGGAAGGCGAACTAGTGGCACAGATTCAGCCAACGGGATTCGATCGGCTCCTAGTCGCGACGGCTCTTCGGGGCCGTCCGACCAACGCCGCCTCATGGGCGGTACACCTACCAGCCCACCCAACGGTCATCGCTCGCCGCCACCCGGTGGCATCGACGGCAACGTTCAAGGAATGATGGGCCCTCAAAGCTCCATGGCAGCCCGGTCTACCCCGGCCTCCTCGGGCCCTCCCCCGTCGGGTCCCATCCCTCAACGCCCCGGCGAGCCGTCGGGCATGAACCGTGCTCGTGGCCCGTCATCCGACCGAAGCGGACCTTCATCAGGACCTTCGCCCCAGAACGGATCCGGCGCCACCCCCCCAGCCAATGGCGACGCTACGCAGGATGCGGAAGCGAGCGGCGTTCAGATCAACGGCGCAGCGGCCGGGTACGTGGCAGCGTCAGCCGCGGCATCGGGCCAGGTCCCCCGATCGGGCTCGAAACAAGAGGTTCGGCAAGTCCGCAACAAGGGCTCCGTAGACAGCTCCGTGGAATCGACCACGAGGGCTCCCCAACGCCCGCTGTCGCCGCCACAGCCAACGCGCCAGGCCAGCAACTCCATGTCGAGGAGGTCGTCGGCCCGCAACTCGCAGACCGTGGTCCTCCTCAAGGAGCTCGACTCGGCACGCAACAGGAACGCCTGGTACGCGTCCGAGCTGGAGCTCGCCAGGAAGGCAGGCTACGTGTCGACGCCCACCTCGAGCTCTGCCCTGGACGGAAAGCCGGTCGAGACGTTTGACGACGAGGATCGCCCGCTGATCGAGGCCCTCCTCGCCATGCGGTCCGAGCTGGCCAACGTGCAGGCCGCCATCGACAAGCAGGCCGCGACGGCCGCCAAGCAGATGGCCGAGGTCGAGAAGCAGCGCGACGCCGCCGTACAGGAGGCCGTCTACGCCAGGGCCAAGCTGGCCGCGCGCCAGGGAGACGGTTCTCCCGACGGGGCCCTGGCCGGCGACGAGGCCAGCTCGAGAGCCGAGGAGATGAGCAAGAAGCTGTCGTCGGCCCTCCAGCTGCAGAGGGGACTCCAGTCACAGCTGGAGCAGGCCAGGGCCGACCTCGACAACGAGAGGAGAGCCCGGAGGCTGGCCGACGACACCATGCGCGCGGCGCAGAAGCGCATGGGAGAGCTTGAGAGCTACAAGCAGCAGACATCGACCGAGGTCGAGCGTCTCAAGGCCGAGCTCCACGCGGTCCAGCGCGAGGCGCGGGAGAATATGGTCTCGTCGGCAGACGCCGTCAGCGCCCTGGCGCTCGCCTCGGCCGAGAGGGACGAGATGGCCAGGAAGTACGAAGAGGCCGTGGGCGACTCCAAGACGCACAGCGACACGTTCGCGTCGCTGCGTGCCGCCATCTCGTCATCGGAGGACGGCAGGACGCACCTGCAGAACAAGCTCGAGGAGGAGCGCGCGCACCGGGAGAAGCTCGAGAGCAAGCTTGCCAGCCTCAAGGCGGAGCACGAGGCCCAGACGGCGGAGCTCGTCATCTCGACGCAGAGGCTGCGCGATGCCGAAGAGTCGGCTGAGAAGCACGCCAACGAAGCCAGGACGCACCGCGAGGCCGTCCTGGCCGGTCTCGGCCAGATCACGAACCGCGACGAGCCCGTCGGCGGCAAGGCGGAGAGCGAACGCCTGGTGGCCCTCCAGAACCAGGTGGCCGCTTCCAACGCCCTGGTGCGCAAGTACCAGCAGGAAGCCGACGCCGCGGCCGACAAGCTGCGGGCGGCCGAGGAGCGCATCGCCGGCCTGGAGCAGTACCAGGAGCAGTCGAGCCGTGAGGGCGTCACCATCAGGCGACAGCTGCAGTCGGCCCTGCGGGACACGCAGGCGCTGCACGCGACGAGCACGGAGCTCAAGAACAGGTTGGCAGCGCAGCAGCTCGAGACCAACGCCATGTCCGTGCAGCACAACGCGCTCAAGGACATCCTCAGCGAGCGCGGCATCAGCCCTACCAGCGCGGTGCGGGCGCGCGGCTTGGCGGGCAGCCCGCAGACGAGCTCCCCCGACCTCCAGCTGCAGCAGGGCCGGCTCCGCGACCTCGAGTCGCAGCTGGCCAGCTCGCACGCGGCGCACGAAGAGACGAAGCAGGCGTTCGCGGTGCAGCACCAGGAGTCGGAGACCATGTACCGCGAGAAGCTGGCGCTGCTGGAGAATGACTACCGGTCGGCAGTGCACTACGTCAAGGGCACGGAGCAGATGCTCAAGCAGCTCAAGGAGCAGCTGAACCGGTACAAGTCCGAGAACGGCGCCCTCAAGTCGGAGATTCAGGAGCTCGAGAACCGCGCCGGCGGCAGCGCGGGACCGGCGGCCGGGTGGGAGGTCGAGCGCAGGTCCCTCCAGGGCAAGGTGCAGTCTCTCGGGTCGGAGCTGAGCGCGACGGCCTCGCGCCTGCAGAAGGAGCTCGACGGCCTGCGTGCCGAGCTCGCGTCCGTGAGCAGGCAGCGGGACGAGGCGGCCCGCCTGGGCGACGAGGCGCAGCAGAACCTCCAGCACCAGCTCAGCTACCTGGAACACCTGCGCAGCGAGAACGCGCAGCTGGAGCAGCGCGCCAGCGACGCCGAGCAGAAGGTGTCCCTCCTGCTAGACCAGGTGGAGAACTCGGTGGACACGTACCGCCGCCAGAGCCGGCAGATCCCCAGCGACCTCGCCGTCCCCGGCGGCGGCGCAGGTCTAGGTCTGGGTCTAGGCCTGAACGGCTCCGGCACGGGTGAGATCGGCAGTGCCCGCAGCCTGAGCCCCGATCTCGACATGGCCGGCAGCAGCAACGGCAACAGCAGCGGCAACAACCCCGCCCTGATGACCAGCAACGGCACCGGCCCCGCCCCGGACGCCCGCAACAGCGCCGCCCTCGACAACCTGGCCAGCGAGCTCGAGACGCTGCGGAGCCAGTGGGAGGCCACCAACAAGAACTACCGCCTCAGCCACAACTTTGAGGTCGACGCCGCGTCGCCGCACGCTCCGGGGAAGGGGGTCGGCGACGGGGGCATGCTGACTGAGAGTCTGGCCGATTGGAGGAGGAAGCTTGATACTGAGGATAGGACAGCTGTGAGGCATTAGACTTGTGTGGCCTCTTTTGTGTTCTTGGTCTGGCCCTCGTCTTGTACTCTTTTTCTTTTCATGTTTCTCCCTTGTCTTGCCCCTCTTGACCATGCCGTCCCCCCTCCCCCTCCCCTCCCCTCTCCCCTGCTCCCCTGTTCCCCTGTTCATGATGAGAGAGAAGCATTCTGTTTTATACCCGGTTTGCAACGTCATTTTTCTTTCTCTTTCATCTCTCTTCTTTTCCTCCCCTCTCTTTTGAAATGAGCTCTTCCTCTCCTGTCGTTCTTCTCTTGTCTCATGAAGTTTTGGAGTATTGGGAACATGTACATCTGTAATCGTCCCATCACTCTCGTTTTGTTAACCAACCTTGCTGAGCAGGGCGTTATCTTTCTTCCTTCTTCATTTTTTTTTCTTTATACACCATCTTCATGTCTTCTTTTTTCCCCCACCATTTTCATCTCTTCAATTTCTTTTTTCTTTTCGTTTCTTTTTTCTCTCTACTTTTCTCCTTTATTTTTGGGCAGTGTTGTTTTATATATACACATGCACACATTTCCTTTCCTCGGATATCATGCATTCGGCCGAGTACAGATGGAGAGCTCTCTTACTCTCTTATCACTACTATTATTATTATTGTATTTTGAGCTCCAATTGTGCGAGCGTGTATTTTCTTGACTCTTTTTGGTGTTCCTCTTTTTTTTCTGTCAAATATGAGATGTGACGAGAGAGGGAGAGAGAGAGATAGAGGGAGGGAGGGGGGGGAGGGGGGGGATTGATTTCTCATTCGCGTATTGAAAAGAAAATAATATGGAAGATGAATATTCATTTATACGATACACACATGAAATGTTTTCTACCTCACGCGCTTCTTGAGACTCTTCTGAATGCGTAGACACCTCTTGAAATCGAGCTTGCTACCCTCACGGGGCATATGCTCCCCGCTGGCGATGCACAGTACCCTCATCTTGGGGTCGTACCTCAACCCGGTGAGAAGCTTGGGCGTGATGAGGAAGTACTGCGACGTGTGCTCCCGACAGGCAATCTCCACCATGCGCTCGTGCACCATTCGCTCGTTGCGGGGGTCCATGCCTTGGTTGATCTCGTCGACGACGCGGAAGGGGGACTGGGCCATGGATTGGAGGGCCATTAGGTAGAAGATTGTCGAGACGGCCCGCTCTCCGCCGGATTGACGGTGGGCATTGAGCTGTTGGAGCTGTTCGCTCTCGCTGTTCACTTCTGTCAGTTTTTATGTTTTTTTTTCTGGAAAAAAAAAAGATACCCTTGATGCGTAAAGGGCAAGAAGGGTGGTGGACGGGTGATGGAAAGGGGGAGGGGGGAGTGATAGGTTTGAGGGTAATGAGAGACGACAAGAAGAGAAACACACCGAAACTTGACCATGATATCCAAGGCCCACAGGTCAAAATCATCATCCTTGTGCACCCGGACCTCCCCCGCACAGTTAATCTGCTCAAAGTTATAGGCAAAGGCGTCGTTGATCTTGGACACGAGACGGTCCAGTCCCGGCTCCCACCGGGCCATGAGGTTGCCGATCTCGAGGTCCAGACGCTCCAGTTTTTCTCGAGAACCCTCGATCTTGCGCGCGAGGCGGTCCATCTCGCCGGCCCGACGGTCGAACTCGCGCAGGACGTTGGGGTTGGCGGCGTGCACCAGCTCCAGCTTGGCCTCCTCGGCCTCCATCTCCATGTGCACCTCGTCGGCCGTCTTGCCCTCGCAGCTGCTGGTGATGACGGCGCGCCACGCCTCGTCGTGCGGCTCCATGATGGCCCGCGTCTCGTTGCCCAGCTGCTGACCGCGCTCCTTGGCCTCGTCCGACGCCGCCGTCGCCTCCACCACGATCCGCCGCTCCTCCTCCAGCTGCGACATGATGTGCGCGTTGCGTCGCTTGAGCCCCTCAATGTCCGACTCGGCCTCTAGGTGCCACAGCTGCGCCTCCACGAGAGACCGGTGGGCCGAAGAGATGGCCTCGAGCGACGACGCGTGCCGCATCACCGCCTCAGCTCGCCGCACTGCCGCCCTGTCCCACTCGTACTGCAGGTCTGTCGTCACCTTGCGGATCTGCCGCATGCTCGTCTCGTGACGAGCCTTGCGGTTCATCTCGGATTCTGCTGCCGTTAGCCGTCATCTTTTCCCACCAACTAGGAGAGGGGGGGGGGTCGGAGGAGCTTACCGATCTTCTCTGGCAGGGACTGCCACCTCTGGTAGTCCCTTTGCAGAGCACTCTTCTCTTGTTTAAGACGGTCCTGTAGAGTGAGAAAAACAAAGCCATTGTTAGCAGACATGGGGATTGCATTCGGTGGGTTGGCGCCCGCCCGAGTTGACCTACAATCTTGTCATCAATCTCCGCCATCCGCGTGTCGATGTCGGTGCGCTTCCCAACCAGAGCATCGTGCTCCTGCTTGAGCATTGCGTGCTCGCCCTTGAGCTCAGCCTCACGCTTCTTCATCTCGACCTTCTCCTGCGTATCGACGGGCTGCGACGTCCAGAAGCGGCCGCGCCCGATGTTCTTGGTCACCGTCGTCATGGCCTGGGGCCCGTACTCCTTACGACGGCGGACCATGTAGGACTGTTTGCCGGCGGCCCACTGGCTAACGACGCCGCTGTGCACCAGCTTCTCGTACTGGGCGTCTTCGTGGTCTCTGAGCGACACGCCCGACCTGTGGAGGCCCCTCTCGGCGCAGAACATGGCCAGCACCGTAGGAGGACCCTCGAGGAAGTCGATGGCGAAGCCGTCGAGACCCAGCTCCCGCACTTGATCAGGTCCGACGGGCGGCTTGAACGAGCCGAGAGAGTGGGCACAGCTCCTGATGACTACGGACAAGCTCATGACCTTGTACAGCTGGTTTGACAGCTTCTTGTAGTCGTTCTTGGTCTGGACCGTGAAGCACGAGAAGTCGTCGTTCTGGAGCAGTGACTGCACCTGATCCGAGTATCTCTCATCCTTGATCGAGCAGCTCACCATGGGCGGGCCAAAGACCTCCTGCTCAAACTCGTCCTGGTGCTCCTGAATCCACTCCCATCCCCTGGCTAGGTCCGGAAAGTTCCTCTTCATCAAGGCGAGCTGCTGACCTTGAGAGGTGTCAAAGGATTCGATGTCCTCGGCAATCCTGTTCAAATGTCCGTTCAGTCTCTTGCCCTTGTCGCGTAGGTCGCGAATCTGGCCTTCGAGCTGTCTTCGCTCCGACTCCAGATCTCTCTTGATGTGATCCTCAGCTCTCTGTCCACATCGTTAGCCGGCTGCGTCGTGACGATGCAAACAAGCGAGATCATTCTCGTCCGCATATTCTGTGCTTACAATCTTCTGGTTCCAGTCGCCACCATTGAACTCGGGCGGTTGATTTTGCAGGTCCGCCTGGAGACTGGTAATCTTGGCCCGTATGCCCGCCAATTCTCTCTTCTTGGCTTCGAACCCGGTGCGCTCAGCATCGATCTTATCCTGGAACTCCTTGACTTGGTCCGCGGCCGTGATCATTGCCGCCGCCAGGTTTTGAGATTTCCTCTCGGCTTCCTTGACGATCGCCCTCCTGGCCGGGATCAGATTCCCCACTTTCCTGGCGTATTCCTGCTTGCGGTTGACGGCCTCGAGCGAGGGCCCGCTCTCGCTCTCCAAGCGCCTGAGCGACCTCTGGGCCTTGGCTTTGCGCTCCTTTGCGGCCCTGAAGGCCTCGCGGGCCTCCTGGTAGCGGCACATGAGGTGCGCCGCTCTGAGGTTCTCGACGTTCGTCTGGATCTCCTCTCGTTCGCGGATTCTATCCACGTCCGCCTGCAATCCTTGTTGGCGGTTCTCTAGGTTTTTGAGGCTGTCCGAGTCGGCCTCGATGGATGCCGTGAGCTCCTTCTTATCCTTGTGCAGGCCCTGAAGTTGCCCCTGCCATACGAGCATCTCCTCGGGTGCGCCGGCGCGCAGCGTCTCGTGAAGCAGGTCGATGGGGGTGCTGGCGGCGAACTCGACGACTCGGTCCTGCGGCAGGAACTGGCACAGGTTGTCAACCTGGATCTTGAGCTGGCGCATCAGGTTCTGGATAGTCTTGTGCGTCGTCTCTTTCCCGTTAAGCCACCACTTCTGGTTGTTCTGCTCTCGTCGGATCTGCACCCGAATCACGTGGTTGGATCGGTCCTGCTCCCGCTTGCACAGCTCAATCTCAATGGTCGCCGTGTCCTTGCCGTGCTTGACAAACTCCTTGATCGACCCGGCCCGTCCGAGGTGCTTCGGGCTGTAGCCCAGCCCTAGGCATATCGCGCACACGAGCGAGCTCTTGCCCGTGCCGTTGGGGCCGATGACCATGTTCAGGTTCGGTCCGGGAAAGAATTCAGCCTTTTCGTACGTCACAAAGTTCTCGACCGTCACCCGCACAATGGCGCCGGGCGAGAAGTCATTGAGCACCGAGCCATTTGTCTCGGGAGCGTCACCGTTGGTCTTGAGGCGGGGGCGCTTATTCGGTGTATTGGCGCCAGATGATGCTGTCGTGTTGCCGTCATCGTCGTCCGAGCCGAGGTGGTCGCGCGTTCGCCGGCGGGAAAAGGACGAGGACATAGCGTCGGCAGATGGGGGGGTAGCCCCCGAGATAGGGCATGTATATAGGCGTTCCAGGCAAGGGTATGTTCGGGTCTGCGTGATCGGTATAGCTCTGTAGATCCGGATTGCGCTTGGTGTTGCGAAACGTGAGATGCGGCCGAGGGGCTGATCAGGGACGCGTCTGGGTGCGCGTCGCCCCTAAATTGAATAGAGTGGGTTCACGGTGCTTAACTGGTGCGCGGGGCTACGGAATACTGGGACGATGTGAGGACACAAGGACAGCAGTACAGATTATATTGGAGCCAATGAATCAAAGAGATATTGGCCCGTGTCGAAATCGATACCCATATGCATGCAGGAAGGGAGAGGACAGGTTTTAGAGAAAGAGAACAGCTCAGGTAGTTACGGATGCACCTGGCGCATAAGCGAAGAGCAGCTCAAGTCGTTATGGATTCCACCGAAGCAGAAGCGAAGTGCGACTGATGAGATGCCAGGCAAAAATGAGAATAGAAAGAAATGAGAATAGAAAGAAACGAAAGGAAACAAAAAGAAAAAGTCATGCGTAATCTGGGAATCGAACCCAGGGCTCCCCGACGCTGCTCGGATGGCAACGGAGAATTTTACCACTAAACCAATTACGCTGGTTCTTCTTGAAGGTTCAGGTGAAGTTTTTGAAAGATAAGGTTTACTCCGAGAAAACATAGAACTCGAGAATCTCGATGTCAACCCCTCACAACGGATTTTCCAATGGAGTATATTGTCGTGACTGTGCTGCGGAGTAATATATCTCGAGATGTCTTCAAAGAGGTCAAGATTCTCAGGTAAGTGCACTCGTTGGCATAATTTGTATGTATGAGATTCTCTCTACACACATCAAGAGCAACCAAAAACGGACATTCAAGCTATATTACGTTCAGCACATTCTAGGGTCATACTCTGCGTCATATTTACCTAGGGCATCAACTTTCTCACGCGTCCGTATCCTTGCTATACGCTACAGTGATGCGCAAAAAGCCAAACCTGTTTTTTGCATATGCGTATGCAGGGTAGCATCGTTGACGCAGAGTGTACCGCAGGCGGGCAAATTGACCACTTTCCTACCAGAACGAGTAGTTACACTATTACTAGCAGTGCTACTTCTTACTAATGGAAGTGATGCTACCGCTGATCTATGAGTAACGCCGTGCCCGGTTTCTGGGATGGACGGAGCAGTGGCTTCTTTTGCGGGGAGTCAATCCACGGCCTCGTGCGGTCTGGGGGATGAGCTGCGGGTTACTATGAGTACGACTTCGAAGCATGGGCTTGCTGTTTACTACTAGGCATAGGCTGTCGTAGTAAGAGAAAACAGTCTAGAACGGGGTAATGAGGAGACAAGCACCAGTTCCCGGATAAGTAAGCTGTTTGTCGAGAAAGAAGACTAGCAATAGACAATGGGCACCGGAACAGGGGGACGACGAAGAGAATTCCATTGCAGAGCCGATGATACGGCTTGCCGGGATCGAATACGAAGAAATCTACGTCAAAAGTCACCATTCTGGCAATCAGTACGAGGTTGCGACCTGAAAAGGCCTGAATGTGAAAAGGTACAAGTAGCAGCAGAGTAGTGGTCGTACGCATAGACAGCGGTGATGATGTTATGAGGTGAATTGAGAAGAAGCTGGAGAGTAATAAAACTTGGTCTTGATATTATGAATCGGAGTATTATGAGAGAAGGAAGGTGCGAGTGGGCGAATGTCGTACCTGCCATTTCCGGTCGCTGGCACTAAACTGTTTATAGCCGATAATGAGGGACAAACAGCAGAAGCGATCGTTGATCAGACGTGCATTGCCTCCTTCTTCCCATCCTCTCTCCTCCCCCCCTCTCGAACTATGGAGTCTTGAGGTCTTGGAGCCTTGGAGTCTGGGAACCTTCACAGCCTCGAGTCTTACCCTTAGCTGGTCTGCAGTAATTCGTCGACATTGACGTACGACGACGTATGCACTAAACAATCAATCCCGTCTGATCGCACCTTGGTCCTTTGAAGAAGGAAGATCTAGGACAACTCCACTCCTCGACACATCAATGGAGATTGGACAAGGGCCACGAGGCCATCAGAAAATCCGACGCGAGGAATGCCGTGACGACCCACTGTCTTGGTCTATCACCAGCATGGCTTGTGTCCACTTGTCTTCCTTTTGCCTCCTTCGGAGCCTCCCTTACTATCCCTTGGCTAAACAATTTCCCGGAGCATTGCTTTCTCTCCCATCCGCCCCTGGCTACTTGGCCTCCCGGGTGTTTTCTACTGCTAGTTGAAAGAAAAGAAAACAAACAGCTATTTGGGGTACAAGCGCACGGGAAACTATCGACGGCCGAACCCAAGACCGAAGAAACTCGGACCTAACAGTGACGGTGTCCCTCGATTTTGCCCATCAGGTGCTAGTACGGGCCAATAGGCTTTACTGTACTGTACGCCTTGATCTGTCTCCGTCTTTGCCTCCCCCTGATGATGATTGTCCACCAAGTTTGCCAAACAATAAACGATGACATCTCAATTGATTGTCGATTGACTGTCGATGGTGCTGCGACTTGGTACTGATACATTGTCATACGAGCAGACTCCGGCGACAGGAATCTAGTCACCCCATCGGATGACGGAGATGACTGTTGATATTCATCCATGGCGAGCTGGAAAGCTGTCCCTACCCATGTTACATTCCAGGCTTCCTTGTCGAGGCTCCAAGACTGAGACGGAAGCCCGGTGGGCGTACGGGTGGAATGCAACTTGGCTCGAGATGGCTGCGTGGAGTCAGATCACGCTCTGCTTCTTGAGAAATGGCTGTTGAAAGTTGCATCGCCATCCTGTGTGGTCTGCCTTTCAGTTAGTGGTGGTGATGGCGATGGTGGTGAGCTAATTGCCATCGATGACGACCCTGAGGAAGGCATACGATGCAGCAATGTCGGAGGCAGGCCTCATCCACCAACCGTCAAGTTGGCATGCCCTTCGTCTGGCATCCGGCACCATTGCCAATACTGGCAAAGGAAACAATACAGCTGACAGGCAGCAGGGGTGCGAACTGACTGTGGGCGTGGAGTCGATACCAGTTGACGGCCGTGTTCCACCTCACCCTCCCTTGACTTGCCAGAAATCCACCACCACCATAATTGCCATTGTGAGGATGGTGCGCAGCTGTGTTGCAGGATCTTGGCAACTTTTTATTTTCCATAATTTTTTTTTAGCACCAGGAGCAACATGACCGACAGTCTTGGTCCAGGCGATCAATTGCATTCCATCGTCGACCTTTCACTGTCCTTGCTTAACCCACCTCCATTTCCGCTCTGACACCCTCTGATATTGCCTCCCAATGAAGTTCGCCTCTCTCTCTTGACTCTCTGCGCCCTCCTGGCCCCTCTACCCTCCCCGGCTATCAACCCACTACCAAGCCGACTTTCTCTGGGTACTGCTGTTCGTTTATTCCTCTTCTTCTCGCCTCTTCCCACACTCGTTCGATCTGTCAGCTTTCACCTACCGGACATCGTTCGTTCAACCGTCCACCTTCACTCGTTCAACCATTTCACTTTATACTCGAAAGCGTGCACATCAACCTCCCACCTCTCGCCAGACTCACGCGTCGACACTCGCTCGCTTAGATTGCTTTATTCTGCCTTAGTTCCTCCAGCGTACCATGTTTTGATATCCTTTTCTTACATCACCTTTATAATCACGGGAAGCAACCATGACCGACGTCTCATCAGCCAGGACGCGTTCGCCGCTTTCCGAAGCCACGCATCGCATCAACGCGTCCTACGGACCCTCAGGCCAGGATCCCAAGGCTAGATATGTCGAGGCCAACACCCAGGCATACAACTACAATTATAGCGTAGCCTCTCAACCCGATATCCGTGTCACAGCGCCTCTGGCCTCGAACCCGCCGGCCGTCATGAGGACACCCAAAGAATCGGATGACTCTAAGCGCCTCTCCCAGGCATCGTGTGACTCGACGTCGAGTGGAAGGAGCAAGAAGAACTACAAGACGCACATCGGGCCATGGCAGCTTGGAAAGACGCTGGGAAAAGGCTCGTCCGCCCGCGTCCGCCTCTGCCGCCACAACATCACAAACCAGCTCGCCGCCGTCAAGATTGTCAACAGGCGAATGGCCTACCTCGTACAGGACAGCAGTATGGCTGCCCTCAGCAAGTGGGACAGCAGCCTACCGGAGCAGGCAGACGGGGAGATGCGTGTGCCCATGGCCATCGAGCGAGAAGTGGCCATCCTCAAGCTCATTGAGCATCCTCACATCATGAAGCTCTACGATATTTGGGAGAACCGATCAGAGATGTGAGTGTGACTCTGCTTCCATTACTTATCGGCTCAAGTACGCGTGCACATTGCTAACTAGGACCTTGCAGCTACCTCATCCTGGAGTTCATCGACCACGGCGACCTCTTCACCTTCATCAACTCCCGAGGAAGATTGACCGAAGAGGTGACCGTCTACTTCTTTCGCCAGATGATGAGCGCCATCACCTACTGCCACTCGTTCAACATATGCCACCGAGACCTCAAGCCAGAGAATATCCTCATCAGCGCCGATCTGCAGATCAAGATTGCCGACTTTGGCATGGCTGCCCTTCACCAGACAGACACTCACCAGCTGGCCACGGCCTGCGGAAGCCCTCATTACGCCGCACCAGAGCTCCTCAAGAACCGTCAGTACAAGGGCGACAGGGCTGATATCTGGAGTCTGGGTGTTATCCTATACGCCATGCTTGCCGCTTACCTCCCCTTTGACGACCCGGACCTGCGTGTCATGATGAACAAGACCAAGAAGGGTCACTATGAGATGCCCAAGGGCCTCAGCCCAGAGGCCGAAGACCTTATCCGCCGCATGCTCCAGGTGAACCCGGATCGCCGAATCACACTCCGCGAGATATGGCGTCATCCCCTCGTACAAAAGTACAGCTATCTCGACAACTACGGTGACAACAATGGCCAGCCCCCAGACATTCGCAAGGGGTTCCAGTACACACCCGTTCCGCGACAAGACATCGACCCGCAGCTTCTCCGACAGCTGCGGTCCATGTGGCACATGTTCAGTGAGCAGGACCTTGCTCTCAAGCTGACATGTGAGGAGTGAGTTAGCCCCGGTACAGACTGTCAACTACGGCTGATCACCTACTGACTACCGTCCATTCAACTAGGCCCAACGATCAGAAGGCTTTCTACTGGCTTCTGTTCAACTACCGTAATAAGCAGCTCGAGGACTTCAAGCCTGAGCTATCTCCCTCAATGAGCGACTACCATCACCTGAAGCCGGCTTCGTGGAAGAAGCGCGTATCGACGCGCAAATTCTCACAGCCGCGTTCTGGTGGCCACGGCCGCTCTGTGTCACGCTTCACCGTCATCTCCAATGCTGCGGAGAACGAGACTGAAGGCGCGCAAGGGTACGACCCATACAGGGAGAGTCGGGCACAGCAGCCTGACGACTCTCAGAACGGCCACACCAAGGTGACAGTCCACCGTGACCAAGCCGGCTCTCAAAGCACGCGCAGGCGCAGCAACTCCAACCCTCGGCGGGGACGTTCTACGTCGGTGTCATCAAACACCGGCCGCTCGCCGTCAAGAGGGTCGATGATGTCTCTTCGGAGCAACCGGCACGGAACACCTCGCGCCCGCCCAAGCCTGCGACACAAGAGGGGCGTGGACTTTTCTCACGTGCGCAAGAAGTCTGGCGGCTCTTCCACTCCGGCTCGCCAAGGGTCGACGAGGCGGTCCCCGTCGCAGCTCCTGGTGAATCAGGCGGCCCGAGAAGAGATCTCGCGTTCCGAGTCGCCGGAACCACAGCGGCAAGCCAACGGCAACTACCCCAAGGCCAAGGGGGCACCGGCCCGGGTGGTGAACAAGGACTCGAGCACCCTGTTCATGGAGGAGCTGCGGCACTTCAGCAGCAACATCGCCAAGGACTGTGACGAAGCCTTTGGCAGCTCCCTGATCGAAGACGACTCCGTGGGCGGCGGCAGGCAACGTGGGGAGTCACCGCTCGCGTTCAACCTCGGGGCCAGCTCCGGGCCCGCACCCAAGGCGGCTGCGCCGACGCCCAAGCCCTGGGACCTGCGGCCGCTGCCGGGCCTGCCATCAGACCGCACGCTGTACAGCCCATCAGTCGACGCGATGGAGGATGTGGCGTATGACATGGACGACGACCACGTCCCCGTCGAGCAGGTTGCCCGCCTGGCGGTGACGGTATCGGTCGGCGACCGGCGGGTCGTGTCGGCACCGGTGCCGACGCAGAGCCGCAGGAGGCTCGCGGGCCTGCCGTCGATCACCGAGGATAAGGCTGTCAACGTGGTGAGCAACGGCGACAAGGCGCGCATCGTGTCGGCGCCGCCCAACACGCCACCCAAGAACAAGGACGACGGCCAGGCCGAGGGCATGGAGTACCTGACACGGGTGGAGAACTCTATCCGCGTGGTCGAGTCTCCCTCGGCAGCGGCTGCTAGCCGGTCGCTGATGCCCAAGCTCAACAACCTTCGCAAGAAGCCGTCTTCGGCCTTGGCCAACGGCGAAGGACCGATCAGCCGACAGACGTCGACGTCGGAGCACGAGTACGGAGGCAGCTACAAGGGTAGCTCCAACGACTCGCAGAACAGCACGATGAAGCGCAAGGCCTGGTTCAAGCGCATCTCCAAGGCGACGGTGGACAGCCAGGGCTCCCACGACCAGACGACACTGGTCGGGTCAGAGGGCGAAGGGGAAGCCGAGGAGGGCGGCGAAGCAGCACACCACGGCGACGGCGGCGGCAGCAGCAGCAGCAGCGGCGGCGAGGGCACCCACAGCTCGGAGACGACGGCGCCCAGGAAGAAGGCCTTCAACTTTCCATTCTTCAAGGGCAAGAACCTCGCATCGTCCGACGGCAAGTTCACGTCCCTCGGTGCCGGAGGGGGGGGCAAGACGGCCGGCAAGCCGGCGTGGGCTGGTGGCGAGCAGCCGCAGAAGCCTGGCAGCAGCAGCCTCGAGATGAGGAAGATGCTGTACCGCAAGAAGACGTCGTCGTCGGCGTCGGGGACGAGGCCAGGGAACGAGCTGAGTGCCAGCGACAGCAGCCGTAACATTGAGGTGAAGCAGAGCTGGCTGGCTCGTCTGTTCCGGGTCAAGCCGGCAACGGAGCATCTGTGCATGACGATGTCGCGGAAGAAGGCAAGGAAGCAGGTGGCCAAGCTGCTTCGTGAGGGGAGACGGTACGGCATCAGGGATGTGCAGGTCGACAAGGATCGGAATATCGTGTTTGCTCGGGTCGGAGCACCGAACTGTGAGTTATTTCTTCTCTTCTTCTTCTTCCCTCTCCCTCTCTCTCTCTCTCTCTCTTCCCCCCCTCTCTACCTCCACTCCCCCTTACGACGACAGGGTACTGACAGTCGATAGACCTCAACCTGAAGGAAGTATCATTTGCAGCGGAAATCATGACAGTCATCGAGCACGGAAAGAAGCAGCCTCTCAGCATCGTGAGGTTCACACAGGAGCGCGGCGCGGCGAGCAGCTTCCATAGCGTGGTGGCTACGATGAGGTTGGTGTTTGACAGTCGGGGTGTTCTTGTGAATGACAGGAACAAGGAGAAGATGATGATGAAGACTCTGAACTCGTAATGCTGATCAGCGTTTTGGAGGGGAGAGATGGGGGGGGGGAGGGGGGGTTGAGCATATGATGAGCAACTCAGTCGAGAATCACGGCTGATGGCGTATTTAATGATTCACCTGTACTATTTTTTTTCCCTTTCTCTCTCTCTCTTCTTTCTTTCTCGTCTTTCTTTCGTTCTCTTTCTTTCGTTCCTTTTCTTTCTTGCCTCTTCTCTGTTTCTGCCTGCGTTTTCCCCCCCATCCTCATCTTGATTGACGCCTTTCATGCTGTTTCGTTTCTTCCTTTTCCAACTTCTTTTTCTTCTTTCTTTCCACATCTTGTCTTGTCTATCAAAAGCAATTCACTCGTCCAGCTGGACATGTAATATCTTAACCTCTTATACACCCCCCCTAAGGATATAGTTGTTTAGCATGTGAAGAGAGAGCTTTCATTTTCTCGACAGTCAGACTTGAACTTGTGTGTGTACACGACCAGTATGGGGTCTGTGTCCTGAGTTGGCATGACCCTGTGTGACAGGAGACGTTCATCCTCATCATTCCCGTAAGTGAAGACCCCCACGATCAGCTGAGCCATGAGGAGGAAGAATGAGGGGGAAAAATCAAAGATATATATATATATATAGTATATATTTTTTTTTAAAATTTATATTATATAAATCGATAATAGCGTGGATAGCAATAGGTGGGAAAGGAATGGGATTGGATTCTGCGGAACCGCGGGGCGTCGGAAGATGGCGTCGGATTGATCTTCCCCAAGGAGGGCGATTATCACACAGTACAGGTCAATGTGTGTCGTGGTGCGTACGAGCATCATCCTGCACCACGTCACATGCAGAGAGGGAGAGGGGGGGGGGAGGCGAAGAGTTGTATATGTACGAGTAGAGTGGGAGAAGAAAAATTAAAAAATTAAAAATTAAAAAAAATTAAAAGAATTAAAACCAAACAAATAAAAACTGTATATGGAGTGAAAAGTTGTATATATGGGATAGGGTCCGATCGTATGTGTACGTACGTACACGTGAGTAACAGAGGGGGGGAAGCGATGATGAGTCACCAGTAATCTGTATCGTGTACGTATATATATGACTACGGTGGTGGTGGTGCGCAGTCTTGCAGTCTGGCATGTACGAGTAGAGTGTAGAGATTCCCACAACATGGGGGGGCATTCCGTATCATCTAATCTTTGGACTATGCACAGCTCGAGTATTGTCAGATTATGATGCCTGCCATTCGACACATGCAATAGTATAGAGAACCAGACTGTGTGATCTGTACAGTATTGCATGTTAAACGACATTGTCGCAGCGACGGAGATTGTCGTCGCGGCTTCGGAATTAAGCGAGCTGTTATAACGACTGGGTACCAGTAATGTGTAGTAAGGGTGTGTGTGTGTGTAGTAGTAGTAGTAGTAGTAGTAGTAGTAGTAGTAGTAGTAGTAGTAGTAGTAGTAGTAGTAGTAGTAGTAGTAGTAGTAGTAGTAGTAGTAAT